ATTCTATTCCATAATTCATTCATTCAACAAACATTAGTTACCTACTGTGTGCCTGGCAATATTACAGGGATATAGTAATAAATACACATATTTGTGTTTGTTTTTAACCTAACAGTATATTGATAAAATTTGGCATGAGTAGAAAAACAAAAATAAAAATTTTCCAAATCCAAGAGCAAAACTGATAATCTAAGATGGGCCAATTATTGCTCCAAATTCCCCTAGTCATGCTGTTGCATACCTGAGAGTATGTGTGCTCCCATTTGAAAAGCATAGTCTTGGGTTAATTGCCAGAATACAAAGCCAACAGTAAAGTTAATACTTAATCTAGGTAAAAATATTTGGGAGTGTCATTAGAACTAACAAGGTTGTCTTCATTTATCATTAGGTTCTGCCTTTAGGTTCTGAAATGGCAAAGGTGAAAATCCACTTTAATACCTAGAGAAAATGTATATAACTTGTTCTTAAAAATTAGGTGAAGGGGAATGGGGTATCATTCTTGACACTTCAAAGGTAAATCATTGACTTCAGTACCACATTCCTCACCATTGCTTTTTTTAACCTTAATTAAATGGCTTCTTCTAGATTCTTATGCATCTGCTGATCAGCTTCAAAAAGAACATCTCCTTAGGGAAAGAAAAATCTCACATAACACAAACTTTTGGATTTCTCTCTGCATAGAAATGCTGAACATTACAACTTTTAAATTTTAAAAGATTCTTTTTTTCTTTTATGTTTCCAATTTATTTTCAGCCAACTAATCTCATGGTGCTTTGTTCATTAGGTAATATTTGGAAACAACCTGAAATGTTCAACAGCAAAGGATTTTCAGAACTAAACACCCTTCATCTTTGTGCAGTGGTATGAAGTCAAGAAAACTAATGGAGGCTGTTCTTTCGAGGAGAATGATTGCAAAGGTAGAGATGGGGCCCTAGCTATAAGAAGGTCTAGGAAGTATATTTTAAGATAAGTAAATGCATAATAGAAATGGCAATTGGTAGAAAAAGAAAACTATTATTTTATTTAAAAATTCATGTTAATTATATGTGTAAAAAGATAAAAAAGCTTTGGTGGACTGAGAATAACCTCTCTCTCTCCCTCTCTCTCTGTCATATTTTTTTTACCTCCATTATTTGAACACATCACCACTAGTTTGTTTTTTCTCACTTGCCATCTCTTGGACTATGCTTTTCCAACGGTCTCTCCACCTCTCCTCTTCTCTTCCCCTACTCCTCCTATCTCCTTTCCCTCCTTTGCTATCTTTCTCCTCACTTGGTTCAGTGTTACTGTGATATTTAGCTGCATCACGGGATGAAGATTAACAACCAAATGCTAGTTAACATTGATGGTTCAGGACCATGGACAGCAACATTCGCATTGGGAGTGGGGCTGGCCTGTATTGGGGAATGACTTTGTAAGTTTGGTCTATTACATAACAAACTTATTGGCATGGCTACAAATGCATAAAATGCTAGTCAGAATATTAAAACTCGGGGCTGACTGTACTTCCTTTTCTTCCCTTCACAATGGGAAGGGGGAAAAGACATAACACTACCACAAAGAAAGACTGGCACATAGTAGCACTAAAATACATTAATTGAATAAATTGTTCACCTTAATGATAAAGAATAGCTCCATAGTTGCTTATTTAATAGATCTTTTAAAGTGATCATTCCCAATCAACAACTGCAAAGCAAATTTGTGTATTTTTTTTTTTACCATGCAGTCCATGGTGTCAATAAAAATAAAGTTCTTAAAAGTTGGACCAAAAAATGAGAAGTGAGTTGAGATTTGGTCACTAACATAGGGTAAAGCAAATTAGTTTTCTATGTAAAATTAAAAATATTGTTGGCCACTTTTGTTTGATGACAAAAATTTAAAAGTCCTTTGATGAGTTTGCCCAACAAATAAAATGACTCCGTCATCCATCCTCTGACACAGGTAACTTGACCAAATTACATGAAACTTCACCAACAGAAGCCTGAAAACTTCAATGATACACATCTACAGCAGCATTCTTTCCTGTTACCCTTACATAGTTCATAAAGCAGCAAACTAATGCCATCCACATTTATATATTTATATAAACTCACACTTCATGTGTCATCTCTTCTGATTTTCCCTACCACTTAATCACCTCTAAATCACTCCCTACAGTTCTTGAATCATGTGACTCATTTTGACACATAATCACATAATGCCTCCTACTTTTGCTGCCTGACACATATATTCCCTGGAAGAAAACCACCGCAAGCTACTTTAGTTCACCTACTTTCTGTTTGCAATTCATAACACCTAAAAGGGCTAGCACACAAATATCAAAAACCCACAATCATCTTTTTTTTTGGGAATCCAAGAATATATCTCTTTGCTTCTTGGTAGATATATCTCTGGAGTTTGTGACAGTACAGTAAATGAACTCAATCCTTTTCATTGAAACGATGTTATTGATCACTCCTCTTGGTTTTACCTCAACTGGGAAATGTTCATGTAACCATTTAGATGTGTTGCTTTAGATCGGCATTTATCCAACTTTTTCCTTAAGACATCCCTACTGGCAAAAGAGCATGAAGTAATGCAGAATCTAGGAGCATTCATCAAAGTTGTAGACAGCAAATAAAAAATTTCTTTGATCTGTCATGCTTCATCTTTAAAATATTATTAAA